GCACGGCCTCTGCCCTGACTCCGGCCTCTTGCGGCTCCAACAGGGGGTGCGGGTGTCTGATCATCAGATCCAGTTGTGCGTGTCCTCACCATGTGTGAGAGAATATAAAGACAATGGTTTAGAACTTCGAATTCAACAAATGCGCATGATAAGGAATCAAAGAAGTGAATATTTCCTAGTAGTTCCATAGCCTCCCGAAGATAAGTACAGACGTCTCTGTACCGATCCGCGAGACTCTACTAAACCTGCTTGTGACTCATAAAACCTATGAACCTAGAGCTCTGATACCAACTTATTACGACTCCAAATATCCCTCCGTAGGATGTCGTGATGGTACCTAGTCTCTAAGACTAGGTAAGCCTATCAATATGCGGAATAATCAAAAAAACAATTAAAAACTTTTAAAATCTCAACCTCTCTGTACATAAAGAAATTCCCAAAACCCGGTGAAAGCTCTAAAGAAGTAGTACGAAAATCTTTATACATCAGAGTCTAATGTGAATAGGGAAAACAACATAATAAAAATAGAATAGGACTCCGAGGTCTGCGGACGCTGGCTGATATACCTTGAAGTCTTCGCGTACAGCTAGCTCACTAATAATTGGTCTGATAGAAAACACCTGGATCTGCACAAAAAGATGTGCAGAAGCGTAGTATGAGTACACCACAGCAGTACCCAGTAAGTGCCAAGCCTAACCTCGGTAGAGTAGTGACGAGATCAGGTCAGACCCTACTGGAATAATAAAAGATATGGTGACATGTTTAACAATAAATGACAATAGAACTGAATCAAGTATGTAGTATGTCGCCATTAAATTGCACAGAATAAGGGCAAATAACACCTCGTGGAAAGAAAATAGAAATTCACAACTTTAAGAAAAATCACGACAATAATTAAAGGCAAATGCAGTCATAAATAAATATCAACAAGGGCACTCCCGAGATTCCGTCTCGTAGTCCCAAATAATAAATAATTTTACAATATCTCATTTTCTTATATCACCACGGAAGCCTTCACATTTAATTTTAAAGAAAATATTTTTCCCGAAATAGCATCCCGCGTTTTAGCCACCCTTATCACACCGCATGACTTCTAGTAGTTCCCCTACTAGCCACGTGTATCAAGCCACCCTTATCTCATCGCATGCGTTTCAACACCCAGACCTTATACCACCGCATGCGTATCCAAAATAAATCAACAAGAAGAATATTTTCCACAATAAGGAGCTCATGGCTCAATCACAATAAGTACAAAGTCTCACAAAATATTCAGCAAAATAATATCCATTATTTCCACAATACGGAGCTCACGACTCACTCACAATGAATACAAAACTCTTGACAAAGTATTCGGCAAAAATAATACTTCCACAAATTTAACATCTTGACTTAACATCAAATTTTTTAAATGTAAAAAAACTTTATCTTGCATATAACTGAACATGCAGGAAAAGGTCAAGTAAATTTAAAGTATAAAAATCAGATCAATGATGAAGAATATAATAAAATAAAATAATTTAATTATTATGCAATAGTGATCTACACAATTTAAAAATATAATCTTCCATTTAGCCCGTGTACACACTCGTTACCTCGTGTACACGACTTTCAACACATTACAATTATCATATCAATACCAATCCTAGGGGAAATTTTTTCCACACAACGTTAGACAAGTCACTTACCTCGACTTGCTCTGATTTAATCCACTAGTAGGCCTTTTCCTCGATTATTCAACTCTGAATGATTCGAATCTAGCCAAAATAATTCGATACAGTCAACAAAAATTACAAGAATTAATTTCATAAGAAAATACTATATTTTTCAATAAAATCTGAAATTAACTCAAAAATTGCCCGTGGGGCCCACGTCTAGGAATCTGGCAAAAGTTACGAAATATGAACTCCCATTCAACCACGAGTCTAACCATACCAAAATGACTAATTTTCGATAACAATTCGACCCTCAAATCTATCCATGAGGGTTTTCAACTTTTCCAACTTAAATCATTAATTAAATGTTAAAAATAACGATGAATTCAGGTAATATAACCAAAATTGAGTTAAGAAACTTACCCCAATGTTTTTCTTGAAAATCTCCCGAAAATCGCCTCTCGCCGAGCTCCAGTTCGTCAAAAATGGTCCCATTTTCTGAACTTAAACTCTATGCCTAGACATTTCTTCTTCGCGAACGCGCTTAGTGCGTTGCGTTCGCGAAGCACAAAATTATGCTGCCAAACCTTGCCCTTCGCGAACAAAAAGGCAACCTCGCGAACGCGATGCCTTTCCTAGCTTGGCCTTCACGAACGCGAGCTGCCCTTCGTGAATGGGAAGGCAAAAATCCTCTCTGACCATTTCCCCTTCGCGAACGTGAAGCTTTGCACCTCGACCCTTAGCGAACGCGTGCCTTCGGTCGCGAATGCGAAGCACAAAATGTGCCAGTCCAAATTTCCTCTTCGCGAACGCGAGATTCCCCTCGTGAATGCGAAGAAGGAAACCAGAACAGGCATCGAAAAATTTCCATCAGCAATCCAAGTCCGAAATTGATCCGAAACTCACCCGAGACCCTCGGGACCTCAAACAAATACACCAATAATTCCTAAAACATCATACAGGCTTAGTCGAAGCGTCAAATCACATCAAATAATGCTAAAATCACAATTCACATCCCAATTCAAGATTAATGAAACTTAAGAATTTCCAACTTCTATATTCGATACCGAAACCTATCAAATCAAGTCCGATTGACCTTAAATTTTGCAAACGAGTCATAAATGAAATAACGGAGCTATGAAAATTTTCAGAACTGGATTACAACCATGATATCAAAAAGTCAACTCCCCGGTCAAACTTCGAAATTTAAATTCCTATTTTAGCCATTTCAAGCCTAATTTAACTACGGACTTCCAAATAAAATTACGAACACGCTCCTAAGTCCAAAATCACCATACGGAACTATTGGAATCATCAAAATTCTATTCCGGGGTCGTTTACACATAGGTCGACATCCAACCAACCTTTTCAACTTAAGTTTAAAACTTTGGAACTAAGTGTTCCAATTGATTCTAAAATCTCTCCGGAACCGAACCGACTACCCCGACAAGTCACATAATAGTTATAAAGCACAGAATGAGTAGTAAATAGGGGAATGAGGCTACAACTTTTAAAACGATTGGAAGGGTCATTACAGGAAAGAGAAAATTTGTTTTATGAACAAACGAGTCCTTATATAAAGAGAAAGGAGTGTGTTCACTCTTCTGTCACTTTTGAGTAGCATACACCTTGGAAGTAGAAGGCGGCCATAGTTTCATGTCAATGCAATGACAACTGAAACTTTACAATAATTAGCTTTGTTGTGATTAGGGGTGTCAATGGATATTTGAAAACCGACTAAACCGACTGAACTGTACCGTATCGAACCGATTTTTAGGTTTCTTTTTAAGAAACCGTAGGTTTTTATATAAATCTATAACCGCACCGATAATTAGGGTAGGTTTTTTATTTTATAAAAATAAATCGAAAAAATACCGAACCGTACCGAATAAATTTTACATGTGAAAAATATATTTATCTAGTAAGTTTAAAAATAATAATGCATTAAATATTTCTTTAGGCCTTGGAATTATGTAAACTATTACAAGCCAACAAGTAATTAAACTCAAAATACTAATTCCTAAAAATTTAGTATGCTACATCTGCTTAAACTAAGTTATTTCAAGTATATTTATTAGCAAGACACAAAATATTCTAGCGATAATGAGTAGCAAACTACATTGTATTGAATATGTGTCCTTTCATATAATTTAGATTTATCTTTTGAATATTTAATCTTCTATAGAATTTATTCTTGAGTCCCAACTTGGTTAATATCTATCCACTCTTGTGATTTATATTTTCTTTGCCTTTGCTTGGTTTTTTTTACGTTGTTGTAGAATAGTTAATGGATCTATACTCTAGCCATCTTTTATTTTTTTTAATTCATCACTCTTTAAATAGTAAAAATGTCTAGAGAGTTTTTCTAAGTCCTATAAAAGAATGTATGTTATTGCATTCTACTTCTGTTGGTGAATTTTACATGATATTTAAAACAATACTGAAAATTAATTGAACCGTACCGATAACAAAGAGAAACCGACATGATTGGGACGGTTTGGAAAAGTCTAATTTTGGTTATACACGATAGAATAATCGAAAAATTGGTATGATACCAATTTTATAAAATAACCGGCTGAACCGAACCATTGACACTCCTAGTTGTGACAATCTATTTTTGAAAGTTGTTCCAATAACAAGAAAGGAACTGGCAACGACTCAACCTAGAAAAACGATTTACGCATAAAAAAGTTGAATAAACGAAACTCAAATAATTTTGAGAATAATTTTGAAGTGGGAGCACCACAACATAAGGATAGCAAAAGTTATTAAATGTTCTAATTAATTTCTCCATACTTGCTTTTCCAAGGTCTTAAAGAGTAAATTAACTCACAAGATGGGGTGCACTCCCCACCTACAATCGGTCATGGGTTCGAGTCACCAAAGGACAATAGCTCTAATATCAACGATCATTGGTGAGGGGACTAAAATAAAGATAGAATCCACCACTTCTACACAATGTTAAGTAGCGAGATTTACAGTAGAATCGACAAAATCTAAACTAGGGTTCATGAGGGTTGAGAGAAGGTTCGAGGGAATCTTATATATTCTGAATTAGAAAATAAATCTTCTGTACAATATGAAAATGGTCTCTACTATTAAATAGTGGGCCTGACCCGGTAAACTGCCTATTACAAAATAATGGACTCATTATAAACATGGGTCTAAATACTAATGTGGCCCAAATGATCAGCCTGCATCCAATATCCTAACAGTCCCCCCCTCCCCCAAGTTGGAGGGTGATAAAACCCCCAACTTGTGAAGATGAAAATAATGAGCAGGCCCAGGAAGTGCCTTGGTAAGGATATATGCAACTTGAGCATCACTGGAAACATGGCCCAAACTAATTCACCCATCACCAATTTTTCCCCTGATGAAATGACAGTCCAGCTCTACATGTTTAGTCCCCTCATGAAAGAATGGATTGCGCGCAATATGCAAGGCTTCCTCATTGTCACAATACAAAGGAATGGGAGAAGAAGAAGAAATACCAAAATCAGCCATTAGCCTTGAAAGCCAAGTGACCTTAGTTGCAGCTTTACTCATGGCCATGTACTCAGCTTCAGCAGAGGAAAGAGAGACCACATGCCGCTTCTTTGATTTCCAGCTTACCAAATAATCACCGAGGAAGACACAGAAACCAGCCACAGATCTTCGACTATCAACACAGGAGGTCCAATCACTATCCCAATAGACCTTCAAGGAGAGATCAGATGAATTGCTGAAGAAAAGGACAAAATCAGAAGTACCCTTCAAATACCTCGTTAGGTGCAAAGCAGCCTGCAAGAACTGGCTGAGATGTTGAACTGCAAAGCTAATATCAGGCCTGATATATATTAAAAAATTCAACTTACCCACCAAGCACCTATATTCCTCAGGTTTAGGCAAAGGATCACCAACATAAGCCTTTAGTTTCTCATTAAGAGCAAGGGGATAAATAACTGCAGAAGAGGCAGAAGAGGCAAAAGAATCCAACAATTCATGCACAAACTTCTTTTGATGTAGAAGAACCCTAGAATCAGAATAAAGAACCTCAATCCCCAAAAAATAATTAAGAGAACCAAGGTCCTTGATTTTGAACTGTTCATGCAAGAAGGCTTTTAAAGATGAAATCTCAGGCAAGTCAGTCATAGTTAGGATCATATCATCCACATACACAACTAGAATGACCAAAGAAGACCCAGAACCTCTAGTAAACAGTGAATAATCATTTAAAGAATGAGAATATCCTCTAGAACAAGGGGCCTGAGACAGTTTAGCATACCATTGTCTGGAGGCCTGTCTCAAACCACAGAGGGACTTAAGTAGCTTGCAAACCAAAGGAGCAGAAGAAGAACAAGAACGAGGAACAGCTAAACTAGGAGGCACCTTTATAAAGACTTCCTCGTCAAGATCCCCATGTAAGAATGCATTGTTGACATCAAGTTGAAATAAAGGTCAGTGTTGCTTAACAACAATAACAATTAAAGACTTCACAGTAGATATTTTAACAACAGGAGAGAAGGTTTCATGAAAATCAACCCCCTCAACTTGATATCATCCCTAACAACCAGCCTGGCCTTATACCTTTCAAAACTCCCATTAGCTCTATATTTCACTTTATATACCCATTTGCAGCCTATAGGCTTCTTACCAGGGGGTAGCTAAACAATATCCCAAGTTCTATTAGCTTTCAAAGCCTCAAACTCCTTTCTCATGGCATCCTGCCACTCAGGGACAGCAGCAGCCGGGGAGTAAGTGTAAGGCTCAGGAATATGGAGCTGAATAGTTGACGAGCATAAAACCGGTATATAAAACTTAGGCTCGCTAGTCAAAGATAGTATAATATTAAATCGTCTCCACATGGATTGGGTTAAATAATGCTCAAAGAAATCTTCAGCTTAACACCATTTAGGAAAATAAACCTTTGATTTTGAGTTATTATTGAACTAAGAATAATAAATAAGATTATCAATTGTGAATGAATAATGAAAATTGAGTAACTAAGTAGCAACGATTGAATATCAAGATGAGAAATAAAGGATTTGACAAGATATGTGATCAACTATTATCAGGGGCAAATGTGTGTTATGTTCACTCTTAACTTTTGTTAACTCTTTCGATTTCAACAGATGATTAGTCTATCTTAAGGATTCAAATTCTTCTTCCGAATGAATTAGAGTTCGCTAAACAACCTAATAATATGTGATGTGAAAATATGCAAGAATATGTTGAATGAGTGATCTTACGAAGAACGTATATTGTCTATTCTTCTAAATTGGGTCAATTGATAACTCTACAAACTATTTCGATTACCTATGAGAGTCGTGAAATCAACCCAAACAAGATAACACAATGCAAATTTTAGCAACACTTCTCTTTCGATTAATGTAAAATCATAATTAACCTTGCAATTCAATTAGTAACTCATTCGACGAATTCAGGCAACTAACTAAAAACAAACCCAAAACAATAGTCAAATCACAATATCTGTCAATAACCCTAAGAAAGATTACTCCATAGTGGAGAAGTTGTTCATCACAAGAGTATTAAGAGAACAAGAAAACATTACAATCCCCAAAATCAAACAAACTTGCGTATTGAATGAATTGGATGAAGTATTTAGAGTCTATATTTTTTCCTTGCCTTCTTCTCTCCAAAAGTTGCTCCAAAATCCGAGATTCCTAGTTTTGGGACGAGCTAGGCTTCATATAGGTCAAAAGGCTGCCTACAAATTTATAAAAATAGGCTTGACTAGAATTCCCGAAGACGGAAGTGCGCGACCTCGCACCTGGGATTGTGACCGCGCACCTCTAGCAGACTTCTGTAGCACTTGCGTGCTCAGTTGCACGTTTGGGGTTGCTCGTGCGCGGCTGCGCACGAGAGTTTCTTCTTGCTCAACGTGTTTTCCTCCCACTTAGTGCAATATTCGTCCATTGATCCCCTCTGCACCACCTGCACTAAAAGGCAACATATTAGACCCAAATGAGACCAAATCTCTATCGAATCAACGAAATCAAAGATACAAAGCGGGCATAAATATTGAATATTTTTAAGCTCATCAAACACCCCCACACTTAGTTTTTGCTCGTCCCGAGAAAATCTAAAACTAAATTGCTCCTAACACTGCAACAACCTTAGACAAGTGGCCGGCCAAAATCAACTCGATACCATCCTGAGGTCATATCCAACCTCAGCCCCAGTCATGATATTCAACTAATGGTGTGGTGAAATTGGTGCCAAATCCTCGACACACTTCACAAGAAAAAGACAATTCCCATTCACACAACAATTGAAAATAATGGCCTAGGGCAATACACAACAATCACTCGCCCTAAAAAACATAAGTGAATCATGCTTTCAAGAGTACCATAAGCTTGGCTATCATGTAACTCTCCACTACTGTAGGAACAATCTCATCTAGATCATGTAGGACTTTGCATTTGGTTATAACGTAAGCTATACGACCGGTTGGATATAATCTGTATAAGAGTATCTACACCTCCCTAAGCACTTTAATAGCTACAAAAACATACGTGACCAACACCTTTTTCAATTACACTGCCCCCAAACTTCTAATTAAGAATAGCACCTAGTTCTCAATTTTTTTAAGCACAACATACAAGGACTTTACATTAGCAGGGGAATGTTCATTTTTATTTCCTTACTCAATGTTAGCATATCTCTTTTTTCTGTTTTTTTATTTATTTCACAATCCCCTGCTCTCGTACCTGACATACATTCATGATGGTGCACCTTTTTCTACTTATCATTGGTTCCACTCAAAATCAACCTCCACCCCTACACTTATGTCTCTCCATCTATTAACATCATAAACAAGGCATTCAAGTGCTTAGGGACGGCTACAAGCTCAGGTTGTAATGTGGTTGCCAAAGAAAGAGGGAATTAGGCTTAACTGGGCTAACTAGGGATAACTTATCAGTTCTTAGGAGGATTCAAAGAAATCGAAGAAAAAGGCTATCAAAGAAAGCCTATAGTCATCTCCAAACTCAACTATTACCTATGATTTCGCCTTGAGCCACAACCAGGCCAAGTTATAGACCCTGTCAGGCATGATCACTAAGCAAACATTCGCCTCACCACACATAGCATTTTGGATAGGACCACAATTCAGACATTAGTCACCAACGGTCTCTCTGACTTACAAGGGCAGGATCATGCATCCCACTAGTCAAGCACAATCAACTTTGCCAACCACAAGAACCTTTTCAAAAAACTTATCTAAAAAAAAAAATTAACAAAAATATACTCTAAAAAGTGTCTGGTTTAAAATATTACGACCATGGTAAAAAACCAAACAAGAAACCCATGGAAGTACAAGTGAAGAAGTTATCTTAAAAAAAATATATATATATTTTTGAAATTTTTGGTTTTGTGGTTTTTTTTTTTCAATAGGAAAACAAATTAAACAACGCTATTTATAATAGCCCCACCCCGACACTTAACTAGTGGCATGTCTCCATGTCACAAAATTAAAATGGAAAAGTGAAAGAAAACTCCCTTGATTGGGTCTATCCGCGTCGGAGACAGTGCCGAGGTCCAGATGACAAGCCCGGCCAAGTGCACGCAGCCATGCCATGATCTTCTTCTCGAACTTGGCATTCTGTCTAGCGAGTCCACTCGAGTGCCCAAATCAGTGATAGAAGTGCGCATCCCCGCCATCTTCTATTCCAAGGCAACCATTCTAGTTTCCCATACACCACTGGAAGGTTCTCCAACACCCTGCTCATGCGGGGTAGTAGAATCAACATCCTCTCTGTGCACCTCCCTTTCCTTGACGGGCGCATCAGACTCCTCACTCTCAACCTCAGCAACCACAACAGGTTCCTTCCTAATGACAACTTTATCAGCCCGAAATTTCTTTTCTTGCTTAACCTTTCCGTCTGTAACCTTGGTTTTAGGTACCCATGCCTCAGGCACAACTGAGTGACTAACAATGGGAAAAAGAACCCATATATCTGCACCGGACAAAGGATTGTCATCTCATCTTGAATGACCTTAGCCACATCAAAGTCGTGGCCATCAACAAAGCACCAAATTAGAGCAGCCCAGGGACCATTCACCTCAATTGTGTTGCTGGAATGCATCAAGAGGTTATTAATGATGCATAGCCAACACTTCCCCTCTAAAGTAAGTGCAACAGAGTGAAATTTGTGTCCCATGATTAACCATATCACCTCCTTCCCGGGCACACAAATGGTCTCAAAGAACATGGTCCACGGATATGGTTCCTTGCTGTGCACCAAAACGTAGTTAGTTGTATCAAGATAGTCCACGTACACCGACAGGTGATAGGCCCTTTGGATACCTTTTTCTTCCGGACTATATACATATAGTCCTCATGTTCCGGACAATTGACGTAGAATTTCCTAACAACCGTTAAATTTGCCTCGTTAGTTCTTCGAAGAACACCCCATTCCTTCCCGGACCAATTCCTCATAAAATCTATAACACCCATTGAGGAGAGACCCAATGTCGATTCCTCTTTCAGGTATTGGCCTTTTTCCCGCCTTGCTATTAAACCATTCCTGGGACTCCCAGGAGACGAACTTGTTTTGATCATATGGGCAACACAACCTAGACATGCCCACATCTTTAGATCTAGACGTGCCTTCTTTCCTACTGTTTGAGGCACTTGGGGTTTTTCTTTTATTGGAAGTGGCCATTTCTACCTGAGGGGTCAATTTATGGAAACACACTTGAGGCAGGAGGAAAGAGAGAGTAGGGGATTAGGGTGGTGTGTGTGTTTAGTCGCGGAGAGAGAGAGGAGGGTTGGGGGCGGTTTAGGGTTTGGTTTGGTGAGAGAAGAGAAAAGGGGGAAATATTAGAAGGGGGTTTGGGGGGGAGGGGGGCTAAAATTCGGGTGTTAAACAAAAAGAAGGGTCAGGTACTTACTTGTGCGCGGTCGGATCCACTCATTCGTAGCTTGATACGCAGTCAGCCCTCCTCATGCATGGACATGCACCTCCAGGTTTGCTGATGCCATATTCTGCGCGATTAAATGCGTGATACACCCCTCCAGGTGCGCGGTCACGCACCTTGATCTCGTCCAAGTTCACACCTCAATTCAAGGTTATGCAACGGTCGATTGTAATAGTAATACCCAACAAGGATTCGAGTGTCGAATTCCACAGGGAGCTATACGTGGGATTTAGGAGTATAAATTGCAGTGTATGAGTATGAACTATCTCAAATTACACTTCCACAAATTGATGCTTGTTGTATGTCTATGCCAATTTAAGATTGCAAGATTAAGTAATGAAACTAAGAAATTGTTTTTGTTGTTGTTTCTCAAATATTTTAAAAGGCCTAGGGGTATGACCTTCATCTAGGTATTTGCCTAACGGGTTCTAAACGTTAAAGCTTGTTTTATTGGTCAGGGTATAATATAGCTATCAACACTTGAGTACCCACTCAATACCTCTCGGCCAGAGAGTGACTTTTCCTAATTTGTCTTTCTCAAGTCCAAATGGGTGTTGAACAGAATGGTTGATACAAAGCTCAAGTCGGATTTTACTATCTCTAGATTCGACCCTTTAATTAGGACTATCAATCTCTTGATTCACCCCAATTTCTTGTTAGCCATATTTTTCTAGACTAAGTCTCTCTTTCTCAAGTAGAGACCAAGTCAAATAGGCGTGAACTAATGTTTGCAACCATTAATTCTACAACTAAAAGCACGATCGAGGCTAAATAATAAACATCCAACCATAAACAAGCAATAAATCAAACACCCATTAAGTTTACACTCCAGGGTTAGGTCACAACCCTAGTAAAAATCTAGCTACTCATGCTTAAGACGGAAGAAATAGAAGAAGAAATGATTATTAAACCCATATTGATAACTAAAATAAAGAAATCTATGTTTAAAAAGCTCAAAATGGCAAAAACTACTAAAGAGAGTAAAGAAAAACGACTACTGTAGCTGCTGATGTCAAAAGTTGCCCAAAAAAGTGAAACTCTTCTATTTATACAGAGCTAGAATTTTCGGACAAAAATGCCCTTCCGGAGGTTCTGCGGCTGCACAATTCCATGTACGGTCCGCACTTTGCTTCAACCTGACGGGATTGGAATCTTGCGGCCGGACAATTCTGAACCGTGGTCGCTTCTCTCTTTTTCTGCGGTCCGCACATTTCTGAGTTCGGCCGCACATGAATCTTTTGCGGACCGCACAAATGCAACTGCGGTCGCGTAGCTGAATTTCTGCGGCCGCACAATAATTGTGCGGTCCGCACTTCCATTGAACTTTATATGTAGGTTCTCTAAACTTTTTCTCTTGCCTTGCTTCTGCGGCCGCACATTTCATGTGCGGACCGCACTTCTCACAGATCTCTGATAAGTTCTTCTGCACAATCTGCGGCTGCAGATGATGTTCTGCGGTCCGCACTTTAAGCTTCTGTGTCTGTTTTTGTCCTTGAGTTCAGATCGCTCCTTCTTGAGTTGGATTTAATCTTAGATGCTTATTTTCCAATATTCCTGCAATTAAGCATATTTCATCAGTTTTTGGGAACACAATTAAACGCTTTTGGACTAAAACGAAAGCTAAAAGGAGCTAATAAGTAGTCAAAATCCCCACTTATCAACTCCCTCAAACTTAAGCTTTTGCTTGTCCTCGAGTAAATAAAGAAATTCCTACCTCCACAGGTTAAGAGCTATTCCAGCTAATCAAAGATGCATCAATCGCACATGAATTGGGACTAATAATTACCCACAACACTTATGAATTATCAACAAGGCGATGAGTTGAGCTTTTAAGCGCAAATAGTTCTATTGTGACACTTGAGCATCAAGAGTTGACTTTATTCATCAAGGAAGCTCTCTCTTTCAATTAGGTCATTGTGGATCCCAAACTCCTCCTCCTCTACTCTCCGTTAGCATATCTCACTAAAGAATGTAGCACTCAATTCAAAGATTTGTGAAAGGTTCGCTCATCTCTCTCAAACGAATGTCACAATTACGGCTCTAAGTACCATATGCTTGCCCCTCATGTAGATCACCACTAATTTAAGTTCACTCGGCTTGAAATCACGTAAGACTTTTCGGAATGCAATGAACGCTTTTGGACTAAGGCTGGATATATTGTAATAGAACAGGTTCATCTTTCCTTAAGCACTCCACTTCCTCTTGCCGGCTCATGTTTTGCCAACTCTTTGAGGCATTTTCTTTTCCTTAATGGAACTAGAGAGAATTAACATCACTCTTTCTTGGTCATGATATTCATTTTGTCCTTCTTTGTTTTCTCCATGCTTTGCATCATTACTATTCTTCGAAATCCCTTCAACTCTTCAACTTATTCACTTTCTTTTTGCATTTTTCTTTTTGTTCTTTTTTATTTTCTTGCCTTTCCTTCTCTTCATTTTTTTTTCTCTTTTTGTGCCTTGATACCTTACTCAAACTCCTCATCTCTCTCCCAAACTTACGTTTTTAGCCAATTGTTTCACAAGAGTGTTAAGAAAAGTTCGGGTGCCAAAAGAGTGTCACGACAGAACTGGTAAAGGCTTGTAACATGTTGATCAAATGAGAAAGGTTTTAGGCTCAAATGTGTTGACTAGGGATAACAACATTGGTGGGCCATGAAAAATTTCAAGCGGGTCAAAGAGAGCCTACAATCACTTCTCAAGCCAAGCAAAAATTAAAATTTCGCCTAGAAACACATTCGGGGCAAGTTCTAGACCATTTGCACAGGTACTTGGACTTGTAACAAAAAGATCTCACCTCTCACGCAACTAGATTGTTAAAAGGGATAGAGTCGAGGGCCTACAACGACCATATTCAAGATTGAAAATCACTATGGCTCGACTAAACCACTCGATGATTGCCTAAGTCAACACAAGAGTCACAAGGTCACTAACTAGAGCTATTTCTTTCCAAAAAAACTTATTTTTAACCGTAAGCACGTAGTTAAGTGTGTTGGTACCAAATGAAGCATGTTTGACTCTTCGATCTTGACTCAATTAGGTCTTTTTATTCCTTATTACTACTATTCTTACGTAAACACCAAAACAGACTCAATCCCTTAAGAAGGTTGTCGCGCCATCCATCGTTGGGAAGATTCACCCGGTTCACACAAAAATAACTACATTTGGAAAGAACCGTGGCTTTAAGAAAACCAAAGGCTTATTGTCCACTCAAACATAAAAAGAAGCTACTAGATTAAAAAGAAGCTATTAGATTAAACAAGAAGCTACTGAATTAAACATTGACTAATAAGAAAATAAAATAAAGAAGCTACAAAGCAAACGACTGCAAGCATAATGAATATACATAATGAGGGAGAAAAGGAGAAAATATATACATCAATAGAGAGAGAAAGAGGAGAATCTATACATGATAAAAAGAAAAAGGAAAATGTTATCAGTTATTACAAACCAAATGTCAAATCATCCAAATATCAAATAAAATCCCCCCCCCCCCCCGAATAAAAGTAAGCATCGTCCCCAATGCTTAACAAAATAAGAATAAATAAGGGTAAGAGTAAAGAGGACTCCCTATTTGGATATGTCCATAGCAGCGTCACCACCCTCAGTCTCCTCTAACTAGATCTCATCATCCTCGGCTCTGGGAGTAACTGGGGGGGTGAACATCTGGCGCACCGCCTCAGCAGTGTCGGCAGCCAGGTCTGGCTACTCAGACTGGCAAGTTGGTGCCACTGGTGCTGATGG